CCATATACTCTAGAAAAAAATGCCCAGTCTCTAAATTGATCCTTTTTTCTTTCTCAGGTCTCTAAATTTAGCCTTGACAGTAAGAGATTGGGAAAGGGTCCAAATCGCTGATGTCACTACTTGAGTGGGTCTTAGCTCTTTTTCTGGAACCAGGATTCTTTTACAAAACTTACAGTGGAGAAGAGAACATCACTTGGAGCCTTTCCACCTAAGGGCTGCCCTGGTTTCACCCAGATTAAATCTCACCTGGGGTTCAGAACCCTTCACAAAATGGAAATAAACTAAAGAGGTGATGTTTTCCTACTGCAAAACCCATCATGAGGAGAAGAGGTCAGCTGGTTCTGCACCCCAGCATAAGGCCTGGGGAATGGTTTAAAGAGAGAATAATAGCCCTAGCTGGTTTGCTCAGTGGATAGAGCATCGGCCTGCGGACTGAAGGGTCCCGGGCTCGATTCCATCAAGGGCACAGGCCAGGTTGCGGGCTCGATCCCCAGTCGGGGGGCGTTGCAGGAGGCAGCCGATCAAGGATTCTCTCTCATCATTGATGTTTCAATCTTCCTCTCCCTCTCCCTTCCTCTCTGCAATCAATAAAAATATATTAAAAAAGCAAAACTTGAGAATTAGTCTTCTTCACTGGAAAACATTATTAGTTTGGGACAACTTTTCCCAGTAAGGGCAATACTTAAATGTAATATTTACCTATATTTAACATACAACATGTATTAAAAATACACAAAATGTGCATTTAACATATATAAATGTAATCTAAGAGTACCTACCTGACTAACTGAACATTTTCGCCAACTAAAAAATACTGTTAAATACCCGAATAAGAAGTTTTTGTTTTTAAAAATAAAGTCAACAGCCCGGCCAGTGTGGCTCGTTGTGGCCCACGCAACAGGCGGCCACAGGCTCCATCCCAGGCAGCGCACCTGCCAGGGTTTCCGCTCGAACTCCATTGTGGGACCGGAGGCAAGAGCTTGTCCAAGGATGATGTTTCTCCCTCTCCCCGTCTCCCTTCCCTTCTCCGAAATCAATAAAAAATATATATTTTAAAAATAAAATTAAAAGTTAGGAAAAAAAGTAAAACGTGTATTTGTGTGTGTGTGTTTGCAGAGAGAGGGAAAGCTGACTAATACTTGCTGACTTCCCCCCACCAGGTGAAGGCGTTCACTGTATAATTTCATTGTGTAATTTTTCAAGTTTCCCGTAGATTTGAAATTTTATAAACAAAACTGGAGAAAAATGAAAGCGGTTGAATTTGGTATTCAGCCCCCACATCCTCTTATGAACAGCCCCGATTTAGCATCCAGTTCGGTATCTACCCCCCTCCTTCAAGACCATCTGCCCCTCCGGGCACGCAGTCCTGTCCACCCTGCGGCCCAGGCGGACTGGCCTCAGCCCGCCGCGTCCGAACCCCGATCAGGCTGCAACGACCGGATCAAGCCCCGAGGCAGGGGCCGATCCCGCACAGCGGTTCGGGAGGAGCGGACCCGTTTCTTTTGAAGTTTCGGACCACACGGCGCTGGCGGGACCAGCACTGCCCGGCTCCTCGCTCTGCTGGACGGAGGCCCCCACCTCTGCTCCTCCCGCGGGCGGGCTGCCCGGCTTGCCCGCCGTCACCCCGTAAACCAGGGCCCCACCTACAGACAGGCGAGGCTCCCATACGGCAAAGTTGGCAAACTACACGGACCCAGCATTTCCCCGCGTCTTCCCGCCACTTCCTCCGAGAGGCCCCACGGACAACATGAGCGTGAACCAGGGGCTCGGATGCCACGACGGGACAGTTCGAGCAAGACAGCGGGACTGGGAGGGAGAGCCCATCGCCGAGGCGGCGAGACTCGTTTCGCTTCTTCCTGTGAAAC